ATATAAACAATACAAATTATTGTAAACAGCTAGATACACACACACGCACACACAAAAGCAAAATCATAATATAGTTTGCTTCACTTAGAATCTCATATACAATAGTAGTTCGTGGTAAAACAGTTTTGTGTTTATTCGTTTATGCGCGTAGACAATACACGTTTTTAATATTATTGTTCATTGCACTGACAATATCATAATCACACTAGTTGAAAATACGATTTAGTAATGTTTCTAATATTTTAAATACTTAATTGGAATCGGTATAGAAATAAGTATTCAAGATATATCTAAACATTAGCTGTACGATTAAAAAAATATATGTGCCAAGTTTTATGAAATTGCACAGGTGAATACTCCGATACATAATTACTTATTTATTAGTTATTATCTCCGACATAAGGATGCCATATACTATAATTAACAACTATCCAACTTATCCTAATGATTTAATATTTTACCAATTTTAAATTAAAGTAATTTTTGTATTCTTTTTTTTGTTATTATTTTCTTACGATTATCACTTATCTATTATTTTTACTTTGTAAAACCGTATATGGAAACTATCACTGTGAACATTTAATTATCAAACATGTACGTATCGGATGTTTTTTTTTTTTATAGATCGACGTTTCGTATGACATCGTAGTTTTTATTATTTACTATTTATAATAATTGCTGAACAGTTCTAAGATCAGACCTAAGAGTATAATTAAAATATTAAAAACATAATTTATAAAAATCATTTCTACTATTTAGGATATTTAGATTCAGAGTGCAGCTTATAAAACACTTTCGTGGTTATTGCTTATTATTATGATTATACTTTTTTGCTCTTACAGTCAAATATTAATTATAAAATGCTTATAAACATAAGCGAAGTAAAATATGAAATTTAAGATAAATAAGCTTTAAATATTTGATTCCTAATGTATACGAATTGATAATATAATGCAATTTTATTAAAACGTCAAACATAATCAATTAAAATATATAGCTACATAAATAAAGTTAAACCTGCTTATACAGTTATAGTTGCTTTATATTGAACTGTTTCCACTTTTTTGCTTTGAATCGGACGATTTCCGCAGTATAAGTGATGCCATTGCGAAGAAAAAATAACTGACCCCTGAATAAGCACAATGAAACGACGGTTTCTGGTTCAAAAAGAATAATAGGACATAATATTTTACCTATATTTGTCACGTAATAAGCGCTATCGTTATCGGTAATGTAAAAGTTACCGGACAGACGTTTAATAATAACTCGTTGGTTTGCTTGGTTTTTCTGCGGTAAAATTGCTGTCCGTTTTCATGCCAACGGGGATAAATATTCAGGAAATATTACTGTCCACGTCGGTTACAGACAGGTCAAAATACATTGACATGCCTAATACATTTTTTCCAGGACCTTATTTATTTTTTCCGTTATATATAGATGTCCTTTAAGACAGGTTTCACTATGCAATTTTAGATTTTTAGTAGAGCGAGCAAGAACGTGGTTTAAATTGTGGTTTGGTGCCTTCGAAATCTTGTATACCTATCTAAAAAATATGTAGTACAAATTTATAGACAAACACAAGATATTTTAATAAATTAAAGTCTTCATAGTTCACAGAGAAACGTTTCTTTATTATAGGTATTCAATAATAATTTCTGATATACTAAAAAATCGAACTGTATGTATTAATTCTATATCTAGTTATCTAAATGTACCTAATAATGTTGAAGTGCCAACCAATATAATATTATATTATATTTATGAATTTATGTATAATTATAGGTATTATAATTATTTTAATAATAAAATTGCATATATATGTGCAACATATTGGAGAAAATATCGTGTAAAACGAACAAAATAATATTATATTGTTGTTAGATATTTTGTATAAAATTATTTGTTTACGTATCCTTTCAGATATTCAAAATTTTAATATAGCTTACTATTATTACATATTTTACGATTATTAAAAAAAAAAAAAATCTTACTAACGTAGCGTAAGGATAATATTAAATTAAACATAATATAGTAGCTAGTAGGTATATTTTGTTATTTCGTTTCGAAATTGGAATTACATGTCATGTGTGGTATGTATTATTATAGTACATACCTATAATATGTAGTATCTATATATTTTTATTTTTATTCAAACACATTAAAACTACTATGTAACTGTACACGGTAACATAATATGTATAAACAATTATTTATAAAAAAATAAAATGGATATTTTTTCAACCCTTATATAATTATATTATTGTACATTTTTACTTACTATAATATGTATATATAGGCAATTAATTACGTTACTTTTTATATTACCCGAGTATAAATATTCTACACTATCTCTATATTCTAACTGAGTGTAGAGCTCAATTTCAATATACAAAAATTACAAGATTTTTTAATTTATTTAATCAATTAATTTTCAATTTGTATCTATAGCAACCTACGTGAACATATTATTTAATTGAAACAAAACAGTCAATATGACAGGTATATAAAATATGATTTCTGAATATTGTGGAAATAAAAAATAAAAATCAACACACTTCGCAAATTGAGTGTTGTAGGTAGATAGGTAGTTGGAAAAGTAGGGTATATTATAGGGTAACTTAGTTTATATTTAATGCACAACGATAAACTATTGAAAATATAATACGATTCTGAGTGGAGTAGTATTAGTTATGGTTTTTCGTTATCCCATAATTCGATAAAAATCAAAAAAGGAGCTAGGTGTGAACAAAACATTTCCATACATTTTTCAAATTATGTACCACCCGCCGAAAATTGTGCATCTTTTGAGGTATGACATGGATATAATCGAAGTATTTTCACTTACCGAAAAAGTGTTTTGAAAAAAACTTCAGAATCTAATGGTAGGTTAAAATTGTATTATTATTCTTTGTTTTGAGACAATGATAATATTATTAATACGTGTTTGTGAAATGAAAATAATAAGAGTTTATAAAAAAAGGAATGTAAAAAAAAAAAAAAATAAATACATGTTTTGACCTTCACACTCCATACTGGTTGTAGACTCGTTTACCTATCTATATATTATAATACTTAGCGTCGTGCGTCGTATGAATTTCAGTAAGTATTATACTCTTATTCCCACGCACCCTATTCATTGTTGAATGAACGCTATAAACCAAACAGCTGTAATATACGACTAACAAATATATTATCCGTTATCTTTTATATTTTTAGATACATAATTTAAATTTTATCATTTCGCAATATGTCTACTATGGTAATTTAATACCTACCTACGAAGTAATGTGATGAGCAATAAATTCGTTATTAAAATTTATAATACACCGAATGCGATATTTAATTTTTTAATTTTTATACTTTAGGTTAGTATGTTAGGAGAAAAAAGCCACGAAGCAAGCTAAGGCAAATATGAATAAGTACGGTGTACATACATAAGAATATTCGAGAGCGTTGGGTGTAGTAGATTAGAAGAAAGTGATGCAAAATAGGTGACGTGATATCGTAGTGGCGGCCCAAAACTCTTAGGGAGTAGGTACCTATAACAGATAAAAAAATAATATATTATTATATTTTGTATTATTTGATCTTGGGAGATCTAGATGCAAACACAATATGATCTCGTGTAGAGGGTATGTTCAAAATCTTCATTCTTTTTTTCATATTTATAGAAAGCGGTTAATCTAAACAAATTCGATTTTCTACGGATCATATACGTATTATACGAAAACGTCAAAATTCTATTTTAAATATTTTGAAAGCGAAATTTTCTAACGGTATGTACTATACACAATATTATTGTTATTATAATAAAAGAGTGGACTTAAAAATCGTTTATTTCGAGATTATGTACCTATAGTATATTACATCAGAAACAAAATATACTTTATTTAAATATAAACTATTTTTTTCATATGATTATCTATTGCCACACAAAACGTAATTTTCTGCTAGACAATGTTATATTATAATTTTTTAATCTACCTATTTATTTTTCCTTCAAATTTCACACGGAACTCAATAATAATAATAATAATCTCTAAATTTTTCCGGCAACGGATAATAATAACTATTGTTGTAATTATCTTATAAACAAGGCTCATGGTCAATTATTAAGTTAAAAATTAAAAATATTTTAAATACTTGCAGAAAATTGATATTACCTGAATAAATCATCTACATGGAAAAATATTGAACCTTTTTATTTTCAAAAATTCTCCAACTTATAATTTAATATTAATTTAAATATAATTTAATTTTCACTACGGCAATATAAATTAAAAACAAAAAAATAATAAATAAATTCAACTATAGTTAATTGAATTTTTGAATTTGCTTTTATCTATAGTTAATTAATAATAAAACAATTAATTTCTAACGCTTGACGCGTAAACTATTTTCAGTTATCTAAACTTTAACTTTCCAAGACTTAGTTATATATTATTATATTGTACTCTAAAATCAAAAAAATACCAACAAGTCCATAATTATATTATAATACTGTGAGATGATATCAAATCTAGAACTGGCCGCCGATTTAAATGGTTTTATGTTTAATTTTACTAATGAATTAGAACTGGAGTCCAACAAATGTTCACCCGCACATAACAACGAAATTTAACTCGCTATAAGGACATTCTTATTAGTGCAGAGTGTATGTAGTTTATTTTTTTATTGTATACAATATGACTGCAGCAGACAATGACGAAAAATAATGGTGTACACAATAATATAACAATAAACATAAAAAAATATTAATATTTGTGCACATAAAGAGCGTACAATCTATACGTTTATGTTATTATGTTTGCAATAGAAAAAATGAATTTCCTCCAACTCGCGCTACACCTATAAAACTAACTGCAGCATTCGGTGTCTTTGAATATTATCGAATGGTTTCTTTTCTTTGAATGTATTCTGTAGATAAATGTCGATAAGATTAAAATAATGTAAACAATTTCCATTTTCTTTTTTTTTTATCTCTTGGGTTTCTACAATATACTTTATTCTCTGGAATCATTAATTTACCGAAAAATCTAGTGTATGATACTATTGGGGTTCTACTTGTTCGAAGCAAAAATTTCCTGATCAAAATATTAGCTGGATGCAAATGATTTTTGACTAATTTTGAGTTGTTGTTGGACAAATCCGTAGTCAAAGCGGAATTAAAATTCAATACATTTTTCTTTACGTATTGCTAACGTAGTGTGTTGATTAATTTGTATTTAATGGGATACGAATACCTGTTTAAACATTATTTAGATTTATTTATATTGGATTAGGTTAATTCATGAATAGTATTAGTAGTATGAATAGTACTATTAATAGTTATTGTATGATTCAAAAGTTTCAAAATAAATATTACGTGAAATCGTGAAGTTGAAAAAAAAACTTTAACGTTTTACGTTTTACATTGTATGTATGCAATTTTACAAATCGACAAATATACCAACCGACTAGAGAATGATGTTAATGTAAAACAATAAACCGTATTATTATTTATTAATATTGAGTGTTGATACAGAATCACAACATGTGGTTTATCATAATGTGAAACCCATTCCTATTGACTTGGGTTAATTCTTGTTATCTAGCTACAGTGTACAAACCGGACATTTTCTGTTCGGATATTTTTTTTCGGACATTTTACCTAAAACCAATTAGATATCTCATATTATTAGTGGTATTATTTTCTTCATTTTATTATACGAAATATGCGAATTTTATTTTTACGGACGCTTTTAAGTGTTTATTTTTTTGAACACCACTGCTCAACCATAATTTTTGTGTACCTATGCATAAAAAATATAAGTAAGTTTGATAATGTTTTTAAAATTATTTTTTCTCTATAATATTTATAAAATTACTGTTACACAAATATAACAGGTAGATGTAGTCTAATATAGAAGACAATTATAACGCGTATAAACATCGATATCGAATTGAATAATTATTATTGTATACTGAATAATTTATGGCCATGAATGTATTTCATGTTGTTTAGTGTGTTATAGTGTACAAGATCTTTACTCCCCATATAAAAATCACATAAACAGTGGCGGCTATTCTATAATGGAGGTGTAGCAACCGCTACAACAAATTTGTGACAGAGGCATAAGTATAGATTATTTATGAAGAGGGGGAAGGACTCGGACTATCAGTAATTCATTTGTAATACGAGTGAATTGAAAGTTCAATGAAGAATTGAACTCCTGTAGTAATTACGAAAAAGAGGTGTTTAAACCCCTCCCCATATTCTTATACTTATGCCCCTGATGGGTGGTCGCTTTATTACGATATTCACCATTGCACATGAACAAATCCGTAAGACAGTAATATTCAATATTTATTAATTTACTACCCGTGTATGTATATATACTTGTATATACAAAATTACACAGTATATATTTAATAATGTAAACTATTATCGGGCTTTCATTATTAGTAAATAATAGTTGAATTTATAAAAAAAAAAATTGTTTTACATTAATCGGAACTAATATGCTGTGTTAATGATTTTTTAAATTTAAATTTAAATTATTTTTATTTCATTAAACTTAATTTGCAATTTTTTTTTTTTTTACAATATTTTATTTTATCTGTATCGTTTTCTGTTTTAATTTTATACATTTACGAATATTTCAATTAAAATATTCATCTCGATCTTCGTTCTATAAAAAAATGAATTCATAAGTTTCCATTATCTAGTATCATTATACCTATTTGTGTTCACTGTTCACTAATATTGTGATAATATTTGTACAAAACATTCACATAATAGGTACTACTCATATTGTCTACATTTATAATTTCTTGATATCAACAATCGAACTTTGAAACATGCCTAGGAAATGCAAATACGCAAATTATGATAATACTTGTATAAAACATTCCCATAATACTACTCATGTTATCTGTATTCATAACTTATTGATAACAACGATCGAACTTCGACACATATACTGATAATACAAATACGCGATTTGTATTTTATGTTTGAAATATTTTTCACAGACCTTGGGTGTAATTTCCATACACTGTCATTGATCTCGATCAAAAGTAATTCACCCAAAATAGTTATTATAGGCAAAGAAGAAAAATAATAGGAATAATGGCGTGCGTGTGTCACAATGATGTCTCACTTAAATATAAATTTCTCGAATCTTATATTGTGTATAATAATATGTAGTACCTACTAAATATTGCGTTTTGTGAAAATAGTCTTTTGACAGATTTTTAAACACAGATACATCCGATATTATTACCATTATTATTGTAGTCATGTAGCACGCGGTCTATAATAATTTTAGATTTCGTGTGAGTAGGTACGCGTTGATTAATAATACGACTACAGCATATTATAGGGGGAATTTGTATCAGAGTATTATAAGGGGTGCCGAATCATCATATCATTTATTATTGTTATGATTATCCGTGTGCTAGACTTGATCATCGATTGGATTAGAATTTCAACATATTTTGACGATCCTCGGAAATTTTAAACATCTGGTTGTCAATCCGATTAACTCTTAGTGAACCCGATGGACGCATGACAATCCACAAACATACAAACATAATATATGGTTGGGACGCGAATCGTTTGAAAGGTGGTGGAATTGATAAGGTATATTATCAATAGTCATTCGGGTAGTGACGGTTAGTGTTCGATCGGATTTTTAACTAAACAAACAAAATTGTTTAATGAGAAACACACGGTATGGTTTTATAACGAGAAACCGTTAAATGGTCGTGACTCACGTAATCGGCACTTGGACACATACAATGTTTCAAAATAAGAATTAGAAAAATGAAAAAAAAATAGTTTTTGAGAGGAGTGAGGAATTTATTAATTGTACTATAATGTATACTGATTATTTATTTATTTTTTTTTTTTTTATCTGTTTACAAATTTTCCACTAGAATCTTTACGATTTTTTTTTTATTTTGTTATTGTAATTCAATTAAAATTAATCGTAGAAACTTGAAATGCCAAAAAGATCTTACTGTCGACATTTTTGAAAAATAAGAATGATGCTAAAACAAATTTATATAATTCCATAAGATATATCTGCTAATTGAAAATCTGGAAAATCGGTTGTGTGACAACTATGGACCAAGAAGTAAATAGAAATAAGTGATGACTTAAATGAGTTAAACGCAATTAAAACACTGGAACAGTGTGATAATTTATTTGTCCTCTCATTTATACTCTTCTTCAAATTTTTACCACTCTCCATGTATTAACTGCGAGTGTGAAATGTTCATTTTCAACATTATATTGCTTAATGTCGTATTTACGAAACATTATTGGCCAAGATCGACTAACTGGACTAGCTCTTCTAAATATCTAAAGAGACGTCATTATTTATCCTTTACAAGTTATGAATAAACTAACACAACGTAAACAACGATTAAATTAACTTGTTTCACATTTAATTTTTAAAAATAATTAAAATAATTTTATTAATATGTCTGTATTTATTTTTGTTTTTTTTTTTTGTTTTATCGTCAATCCATTAATAAAAATTTAAAGTTGAAACTGCCTCCATTAATAATTTATACCTACGCCCCTGTTCCAGATATAAATTAAATACCTTTATGTCTGCTACCTTCTCAACTTCCAACCTACAAGAGAACAGTGGCACAGTATCCAGTATCAGCTATTTTTTGTATTATTGTTAATGAATTATATTCTCTAATATTTTATGTTTTGTAAGATTTTCATATGATATTTATATCATTTCTTTAACTATTGCATTTTGAAACATTGAGTGTGACTTCACTCTACTGCAGGACATTATTGAAACGCTTTTTGACGTTTTGTTTGCACACACAACACCAAGAGTATAAACCGGATTCTAATTATTTCTTAACTCTACGCTAGTGATTTTTTGGTTTTTTTCCCTTTTCAAATCTGATAAAGATCAGCCATAATTTTGTATTACATTGTTTACGTGTATTTACTCCACGCCTTAAAATAGTATCAAGGTTCAAATAATAGTGTCTCTGCACGTACAATGGTTAAGTGACGAAATGTATAAATGTGAAAAGTGTATCCCAAACTACACAGTATGTATGAGTGTGTTATTTTAAATTATGACGAAATATAGTCATAAGTTAGTAATATTAATGTTATAATATATTATTGTTAATATACTAAACAGCCTTTAAACAACATCACTACATAAAAAGCAATGATTTGAAAAGTATAATAAACAAACAATTTCAAAACTGATTTAATTGATACATAATTCAAACTTTGTTCCGAAAAAAACTGTATATTACAATTGGTAAACTATATATTTTTAAATTGATTTACTCAAAATAAATAATTATCACCTAAAAAATGTACGAATTAATGTTTAAACAAATTGAAATAGGTATTTATTATTTGAAGAATTATAAAATATAACATATTTATATATTTTATAATTAATACGTTATAACATATTAATGTATTAATTATGTCAACATTTTATATTATTGATTTTGTATGACAATGACGGGTACTTATACCAATAGTATCATAATATCTATTTGTTGGAAACAATTCAATTAATAATAGGCTATGTGATATTTTTAAACTGCACACATTATATCAATTATTTGATTATCACACAATTGTAAAACTGACTAAGGAGTCAAAATAACAATGACATTAGAACCGAAATTTTGTGTAAAACAATTAAACATCTTTTGAAGAGATGACGTGTATGCTATTGAAAATAAACTTTTGACGTGATCTTACGAGTAGAATTTGTTAGGATTATATTTTAGATTCTGAGTGGAGTGAAGAAGTTTATGGTTTTACCAAGATTTGTATTATTATAATTATTTGTTTTGTATCAGTGAACAACTTTTCCGCTAGCAAATTTACTCCGATATACAATGATAGAACTTTTTTTAAAAGAAAATCTGACTGGGGAGGTACTTTTAAAAGGTAAGTTTTAATTTTCCAACAAATGCAAAAAGCCGGAATATGACATATATATATATATATATATATATATTGTTAAAAAAGCATCATTATTAACTGAACTCTGCTCAGAGGATGGTTTATCATTACTTACAGATATAAATGAAATAACCTTATGTATCCTCTCTTCCAAACTTCTCACCTGCTTATTATCCAGCTCTTATGGCTGCATCCATACTCCGTATCACTTCTTTTTTTTTTAAATAGAAGTTATGGTATTAGGTGCCCCTCCCATAAAATTCAATTCTAGATCCATCATTGTTAATATGTAATATGCATAACAATTAACATCAACGTCGGGGGTGTTCCTTAATAATACAAGAACTTATCTATTTAAGTGTATAGTCTTTATACATTACCTATACATTTAGTATAGGTAGGTACTTTGTTATAACGCTATAGTATAATATAGTTTCACCGACTATCAAACATTTTTTTATTTTGTATTATTATTTTTACACACTTATCGGTTTTCATAATCAGAGCGTTAAGAAATGTTTAAGCCGATTTAGAACAATAATATTATTGTCCTTTCTTTTACTATTATAAAGGTATATACAATTTTAAAATATTTACAAGTGATTCTTATTTGCATTTCAATAGAAGTTAGGTAACAATTTAATTGGATATTAAGAAAGTGAAAATTTTTAATTTAAATACTTTTATTACAAAATTATTTATAATAATATTAAAAATAAAATTATTATTTATACAGTTAGGTATTTTAAAAACTGTTAATAATAATGAAAGATAATGAAAAATAATATTTAAAAAATAAATATAGAAAAAAAAACTTACCTAATCCACCAACTATAGAATAATTAACATTGTACATGAAAGCCCCTACGAAGTTT